CCAAAACTTTGGCTCCAGAGCTCTGAAAAGGAATAAATAGAATCCTGTGAGAAGAGATCATAGCAATATTACAGCATTGTGCTGGAAAGATAAGGGATGTATCACAACCATCTGCAGCTGAGGGGAATTTTTGGTATGAATCATGGAATGCTCAGGAGCCCCCCAGTAATGCAAAACTGACTCACATGAGCTATGTTGATACAAGTGACAGGATAGGCATAATGGAGAAGAGAAGTTGGTTGAACCTAACTTTGTGTGCCTGTATAGCAGGAATAAAGAATTCTGCAGTTCCTTATCAGAGTGATAAGATATATTTACATGATGCATTCACATTTTAAGGAACATACATTAATGAAATCACAGTATTTTCAAAATATTAGTCTAATGATGGCAGAAAATATAAATATGTACAATATTCCTTTTGATTGGAAATAATCTTGCAGAGCCATGGCTTGAGGAACAGTTTTAAGTGCAGAAGTAAACTTTTCTGAACAATGTGTATTTTATTTCATGCTTGTATGTGGGTTTTTAAGAAAGATACATTGTTTTATCGGAACACATGCACAGCTTAGCATAACTGTGGGATTTAACTTGGACTAACAGAAGATATGAGGATTTAAATCCCTGGTACTTTAAAGGTTAATGAATTCAACACCAGCTCAACTATAGTTAATACTTGTAACCCCGTCAGTGAATCAAACATTTGTGTTGTTTAACTAAACATACATTATGGTACATTTCTCTGCACCATATGTAATGATAATATTCTAATGACTTTGTTGTCAGGGTATTTTTTATTAAAAGGGTGCACCATGTAAAGTAAGATTTGCTTTGAAGTAGAAGATGCTCTATATTGTGCACCTACTCGTTACACTCCTTTTAAATTTGAAGAATTTGGCAGAAAGAAATGGAGAGATTATAAATGTAGACTCTAAAGGGACACCCGAGGCAACTTAAACCACTGGCTTCCAGGAGGTACATAAGGTTTGTCTGGTCCAGGACTGTGATACACCACTTGGTAATGGAGATAGTCTCCACTTGGATGTACAGTACAGAAATACTCATATTGATTCTTCCAATACAACAGTAGATTATTGAAAAAATATTGATTCCGTTATCTGTTTTCTTCCAATAGAAATCCAATCTTCCATCACTGAAATAACTGTTTTTCGGTGAATTTAAACTGTTTGTTCCTGTGATAGTGTTCAAAGTTTCGTACAAATTTTAGATGGATGGTGTCAAGGTTATGTCCAGGTTATGAATAATGTCAATTTTTAAATCCAGCTGTTTTGCTATTGACCAACATTAATTATGCCAGCAGTATTTAGTGGTAAGTCAAAGAAATCTTTTCTGGTATCAGTATATTTACTCCCATAGATTATCCGTTTTTACCTTCATTCTTGAAGTGGAAATACATAGGAGTCCTTTTCACAATAAGGAAATGACATACATTTAAGAAGCAACATTATATGTTTTATTGTAATACAGATTTGTTAGTTGCATGATGTTAGGTAGTGGTAACTCATGAGTCTGAGGTAGGCTGAGGACAGTAAGATTTTCAGAGCAGTTGGAAATATTCTCTATACATGTTTAATTACATAACTCGCTTAATGTTACTTGGAATTTTAATTGACGCATTGATCATATGAGGATGCCAGTACTATTGTTGATTTAATTATTCAAGATGTGTGTTACGGAAAGGAATAAAGGAGAATGTGTGTGCAGTTTCCTTATCTGCAAACTGCTGTTAAGATGAAGTGAATTATGAGAGTAAATATGGTAATTGAGAAGCTTCTGTACTCTTTATGCCCTCTGTGCCATACGTCAAAGGGAGACCCAGGACATTTGCAGTTCATGTGATTTATTTTTTATACCTATTCTACACATTGAAATGAAACAAGAAATACATACACAGGAGTCTAAGAAACTAAAATGAAATGCAAATATTAGATGCTTTTTCATGTTTCTTATCAGTGAAAGGCATGACTATTCTCTAACTGGACTTCAGGCCACTCATCCCTTTTGAACCAGTGCACATTATGCATTATTGTTCATAGGAGATTACAAATGGAATGCAACAATAACAGTGTTGGAGTATCTTGAACTTAGTATTGATTACAAATATTTATTACTGTAGAAGAATGGTCCTTACTGAGGCCTTTTTTGTAGAAAGAAAGGTAACAGTTCTTTGAGGTTATGTATAACAGTTTTAATGATTTTGACGACTATGTTCTATTTTGAAGAAGAGGTGCCAGTACTGAATACTGATGAATACTGCTAAAATGAAAACACTGGTTCTTCACACACAGGCACAATGCACCCTTCCTTAATGGTCACCTCATCTGCATGGCAACTGATTGATCAGTCAACATATCAAACAGTTCAAGTCTAAACCTAAAGACTACACTTAAAACAAACATGTTCATTCTGGAATTCCTTTCAGATGTTATCAGATTTTGTGATTATACTGCCATTATTTGTTCATCAGAGATGAAAACTGAGGCCACCATATGGTAAGGTGAGGTTGACATAAGGTAAGAGAGTTTTCATTGTGCATATTGCCTTCACCCTCACAGTATGCTGTGTAGACATGGTTAATTATATACCAGTACTATGTTTAATATTGACCATTGTCTGAGATATATTTGATTCAGACTACTTTTAAAAGTAAGCTCTTCTTGTATTCAGGTGACTGGTTGTCATTATATGTACAGATTCTTTTATTATTTTAGGCTTGTTGACAACAAAGTTGTGAAAACCATCCACTAGTTTCATCATGTACAACTGTTTGTCTTCATGTAATAACTTGATAATCACCAAAATAATTTTAGTAAAGTTTGATATTGGAGAGTATTAGTAAAATTCATCATCACATTCCAATTTTTCTTAAAATCAGACAGCAGTAATATTAGTTAACAGTGATTTTTGTTTCTCCCAATTTGTTTGGTCAGTGTCTAAGAGAATTTAGTGGTGATTTGAAAAAAATGTAGTTCTGAATTTTTCACTGTTCATGGTTTTGATGAAATTCTAACTTTATTTTTAATTAAAAATTGAAAATGCATACGATATCCTTTACAGAAATATCTGATACACAGAATTTGTGCTTTCACAATTTGTGTTGGTGGACGAAACTCTTATCTGCTCTGCTAAGTGTCCAGCAATAATCTGTAAGGATATTTTGGTTCATCTGCCCTAATATGAATTTTCCAAGATAGAGCTTCCTTGATAGAATTGCTGTTCATGTCCATCACCTCCCCAAGACTGAGGAAAAAGTCTTAAGTGTGAATAAGAAATGTATTTTTAAAGGTATGTTAAATTTTATTTCTTTGTAAGCCTCAAAAAGCTCATCATTATATTCAGAATAGTTGGGTGAATGGCCTTTGCTTGAAAAATTTTGTATCACGGCTTTAAAGGCTCTCCATGCTCTTCTTTCAGAAACATTTACAGCTGTCAGAAGCATCATCTATGATCAGTCTTTGTTCTGAAGACCATCATATATGACCTGTTATATTTTTGTGATACAGGACATTTTTATTTCAAGTACAGGAAACCTCACCATCGTTGTTCATGACCTGAACAAAATTTCATCATAATATTGGTATAATAAATAAACCACTGTCACAAACAGTTTAGAGAATTGGGTTTAACTAAACTTTTTTAGTACATGCTGATGAAATGCTTGAGACAACTTTATATTACTCATAAACTCACACTGTAAATTTCAAATTAATTTATCTCACAGTATTCTTGTACTTATTGAGTCTGAGGATGCATCACATGCAAATAACAGAACATGGAACATCAATTGTGCATTTATCATAACCTCTCTGATTAACCTTTATTATCCATGTGATGCAGCTAATGCAGTGTTTAGCTGGTTATGCACTGCACTAGCATACCACTGGACCATTAACCCTGCGGCCGAACTGGCCTGCGAGTATACAATATGGGAATTTAAATCTGCTATTCCCCCATGATAAAGGTTAAGCAGGAATTAGATTAAGTACAGTTTTGTCAGTTATGGCTTATTTAAATGAGATACAAAATATCGTAGATAACATCTGAATTAGGAGAAACTAATTTATACTTGCATGAATGTAGATTAAGAATGCTTTTCACTTTAATCCATTTGTAATCCTTGTTTAGCCAGTTTGCTTGCTACAAAACCTGCAACCAGAATCACAAGTAAGCTGAACAAAATAGGCATAAAATACAACAGTAATATACCAATATGCTCAGGTGGCAAAAACAGAAAACCAGAGGGACTTGTTTTAAGTGTCTCACAGATAATTCAGAAAATGAAACTTTTAAAACTACAGGTAGCCCTCGATTTACGCCCAGGAGGGTTACCTGTATATTGAAGTGTGTGTAAGGGTTTCATATTCCATGCCCTATATATATAACACACCATTATATGCACAAGTGAAGAAAATGTACAGTATAGTATATAGTAATTAAAAACAGGCACAGTTCATATTAATGCTTATTTCACACTAAAACCTCAACTTGAGTTTGCTCTTAATTTCCTTCTTTGGGCTGCTTGAACATACATGGGTAATGGATCACACACACACTCACACATATACATATTCTTGGCTTGGGTTCCTTGATCAGAAAAGGCTGACTGATCTATGATGCACACCAACAGTGTTGGATGCTGACAGTCACTTTCACCATTACTCACTCCCATCATAAGACTTCTTTAAGTCTCACCCTCAATAGATCTTCCACCAGAGGCTCCAAGAGATCCTGACTGCTTCTCCTCAGTATCAGAGGGCCCAGTAGCTGAGTCATCTGGTGCAGTGAGAAAAAAACCAAAACTTTGCATAAGTTTGTATTGATCAGCCTGCTGGAACCTGATGTCTGTTAAACATCTCCTGGGATGAAGATTTCTGTCTTCTGGGTTACGCCCTGATGACGGAGGCAGTATGACCTCTGAAACGTTGGTTAACATCGACCAGACTACACAGCGCAATAACCCAGAAGACAGAAATCTTCATATTCACCGCTGTGAGAACCTCAAGTCTTACATCTCCTGGGATCACTACAGTAACCATTCTGACAACTGTTTTATGTCCTTATTCATTGGTCATCCCATGAATAACTAGGGAAGTACTGTTATCTCCCTGAGAGATTTGTATTGGTGTGGGGAAGGGTGGAAGACTAATTATAATGGAAGATCGCCTTGTATCTCAATGGCACAGTTTATGACACTGCGCCCCCAGTGCCACACAGGCATCTGCATGGTAGCTAATACCTAACTTTAGAGCATCACCACTGCTGCTTCTTGGGACCATCCAGAGAGGTGGGTGGGGTGATTTGATTTTCCCCCACAGTGGATAGATTAATGGTCATACCTGGACTTATTTATTCTGGAATTAAGCAGTGGCTGTTGTTATTTATACCCCTACAGATGTAAGGGCTAGTAGAGAATACTGTCAGAATGATATTTAATACAGAGTGTGAAAAGGTGGGTGAGGCTTTATAGAGTGCATCCTAACTTTTAGAAATTTGTAAGAAACAAAATGTCTCTAAAGAACTACATTTATATGTATTTTTGATCTTTCCTTGTTTTATTTGTCATTATATTTCACTCACCAATAGACTAAACAATTTAACTGTTTTTAATATGCCTGAAAAAACCTTATTTCAACAAATGTCATGGAATATCTGTTACATGATGTAACTTCTGTAGTTGACGATGATGTAAAGTAATGCTTTTAACTGTTGGAACAATTCTGCTGGAATATCTCCAACTGCAGTGACTACAGAAGGTAATTTTGGGCAAGTTTATGTGTATTTTGTTCAGCATATTTATGGGTAATGCCACAGTCCTATGTATATACTTCATATTGTCTTGGTTTCCCCACCACAGTTAAATTCCAGTTACAGTGATACTGCTCATCACTTCATCCCCATGCATGTTTATCAGTACTTCCTAAGTTTGTTTTAAGCCTCTATGAATCTGAAACATGTCTTAAGGTAATCAGTTTTCTTTCCATTAGAACCAACATTTTGTAAATATGTCAATTCAAATGTGAGAATGCTTCAAGTGTGCTCTGCCATAATAAAGCAATTCTTTTTTTAAAACTGAAATATAACTAACACAGATTTGTGTGTCTTAAACCTCATCCTCACACACACCACTATCCAGGGCTTATAAGCAACAGAAGTAGATTTAAAATTTAATTTCCTCTGTACCAGGTGCAATCCTTATACTGCCCTATAACCTGGATAACAGCACCCCATATGTGAAAATGGAAGACACCACATGAAAGTGAGAGTGGAGATATGCATTCTATGCTCTACAACTAGATGGTTTAGACAAAAGCATAAAAATGCTAAAATCACTCTTCCTGATGCAATCAGATGTAGAAATAATAGGTGGAAACATGTACATTATGTAACAAATGGAGAACTTGGTCATAACACTGAACTATGCTGGTAATAATAATGCAATTAAATGACTCAAAATCAGATTTATTTTATAATCTTTATTGTAAATTATTTGCTTATACATAATTTCTTCAGAATCAGGCAGATAGCTTACAATACTGAATTTCATGTGTTGTTCATTGGATCCACTGGCACAAGTCAGGTTTGCTCTAATGCAGATTTCCTACATCAAAGTTTGTTTAATCTAGCCACCCTTATGGAGCCAAGTTTTTCATACAGATGAACAGAACATAAGTGAAATACAATTTTTTGCACACATACTTTGATGTTAGTGTCTACCTGCTTCATCTCTTTTCACTAAAAAAAATATAATACTTATAATTCCAATTTTCCATTTCCTTGCATCCTTATAATTTGAGAATAGATGATAAAGCAAGTACTGACAGATGTACCTTGGATGCTGCTACCCAGGTGATAATATCAAGGATGTAAGTGATAATTATGTCACATTAAAAGTGCTATCTTGAAGCTTTATTACTTTGTATACTAAAGTTCTAATTATACAGTGCCTGGTACTGATTGACAACAGATTAAACATCATATACTTTTAGTCACAAAGTGTATTGGAAATAGTATTATATTTTGAAAATCAAATCACATGAAGTTTTTTACCAGTTGAGGAAAACCTCAATAGTGCACCATTAATAAAATAACATTCATGAAAGCATATTTAGTTACTCGGCAAGTATAAACCAGCATGTTCTTGGTAACACACCCTGCCTCTTGGATGATTCTTGCACATATATCATTCACATTTTGATAAACATTGTCTTTTACAAATCTATAAAAAAATATATGGGGTTTACATCTGGAGAATTAGGAGGCAAGCAAGCACATTCCACCCTTCAATAAAGAAACTCCATGCTCAAAATGACTTGAACATAATTGGAGAAGTGAGTTGTTACACTGTTTAATTGAAATACTGTTCCAGCAAGTGCATGGGGTAAACCAGTGTTCCCCGTCACTGCAAGAAAGGTTCCACAAGTCACCACAGGCTCTTCAAAAAGGGCCAATAAATTTCATTTGTCATCAAGGCACACCACATGTTTCATAATTGTGATCATTTTAATTTCTGATAAACAATACTTGTGTCTGTTGACTGTTCTGCATATATAAAACTTGACTTGATCAGAAAAGGAAATTATCTCCATGAATGTTTCATCCTTTTCAATGTAGGAAAACATCTGTAAGGCAAACAAACAGGCCTCTTGTTTCATGACCTGTACATATTGATTTTGGTCTTTTTGGTTTAACACCATGTAAACTTGTAGGTAGAGGCCCTAAAGGTGGAGACAGTATGTTCCTTCAGAATATTTGTGTCAACCTACAAGTCCACACAAAGTTACAAACAAGAAGACCAGCATCAATATCTTCACCATTGTGGGAACCTAAAATCTCGCATGATTTGTATATGTTATCTTCTAAACTGATTGAAGGTTCTAAGCTCTAGCACATCATCATGTACAGTTAAGTGAAGCAGGTCTAACTCTGAACCTGCTGTGTGAACAGACTTACCAAGGTCCCTCTGAAATGTTTCAACTTCATATTCCATACTGTCCTGGGCCAATGTTTGACATGGATGCTGATATTATTGCAAGGCATTTTTTTATAATAAATTCTTCTTCAACTGCCAGCCATGTCAAGTGTTGAAAGATGAAAATGCCAACGTTTTGAGAACCATCTTTATCCTTGTCCTCAGGGTACTTAAGTATGAAGATGGTTCTTGAAACGTTGGTTTCTCTCCATTCAATCACCTGACATGACTGGTAGCCTGAGAAGAATTCATTATACTTGGTCACCATGAAAGCTTCATATCAAAGAAGAAATTTTTTTGTTCTTTTGTTATCATAGATCTGTAAATTTAAGCTTTTTGATTTGCACAAAACACACTAAACATATGTAGAATGGAGGTGTATAATTTTAACTTTGCAGGTCACAGAACACAATGTACTTTCAGATGCATGAATACATCTTTTCTCCAACTTAAGTGTAACATTTGCTTAGTTATGGTAGTGCCATGGTCACGCACCTATAAGGTAGTCAGGAACAGTGTAGTGGGGGAATGAAGGATAATTACTGAGAATAGAGAAACCCTGTAATAAAGCAACTAGTGACACCCACATGAAGATCATAACACATAATCATGAAATCACATGTGAATTTCTGTCATGCATCAGACACATAGAAAGTTATGTCTTCCCTGAAGCTATAACATGTGAATAACGAGTTGATATTGCCTTTAACCTGAATGGAGTTAAAATATTGGATGCCTTGGAACTGTGAGGAATTTGCTATTTTAAGGAATTGCAGTTTTGTTAAATTTGTTTCAATATTTATGAACTGCTTTCCATGTGTTAAACAAACCATGCATGAATATGTAACAAGTAAAAGAATGTTTCTTAATGTAAAAATATTTTAATATATGAAATTTATATAAAATCTTTATATTTGTTATAAAATAATTACATCTAAAATAAACACATATAACTATTCTGGTATATCTTGTACTTTTGTTTGATAAACATAATAAGTAAACAGCAATTTTAATACTACTACATGTGAGTTGGAGAAATGATCAGCATATCGTTCTTCAAAAATAATTAGACAACAGATGTAATTAGGACGCTGCATCAGTGTCATGAACTAGTACACAGTCTCCTTCAGTGCAGTGGCTATTCTGATAGCTGTGTAAGATCAGACATTTGGAATCTTATTATTTTCTGCCATTACTTTGAAAGAGACAGCACTGCTTCATGCTGTTCTGCCAATTTTCACATTACAAGTGTAAGGACTGATGAATAAAAATATAATTCAAATCTCTGTCTCAATAATTTTCAGTCTTCTGATTTTAATTCAGCTACAAGCTCATCATTGCTGTGACCTGGCGATGCTTCATTTTTACTACTATTTTTTTACTCTTGTTTTCAGAATTACAATACTAATTATGGTTTTTGTCGTAGTTTCTGAACATTTTATGTAATTAATTGTAACAACATTTTTAGAAATTGAAGTTGTTTTTAACTGAGGAGTGGGACTTCTCATACCTGGGGTGAAATTTAGGATTACATGGACCCTGGCCAGTACAGAACCTCCATCTTGATGTTCTATACTACCTCTATCTTGATATTCTGTACTAATAATTGTGCATCCCATGTTCTTTTGTCATATGCAGTAAACTAGAAACTACTGAAGCAACTTAAAAAGGATTGAGTGAGGATACTTCCTACCTAGCAGGTAGTTTTATCAAAGACAAGTTGCAAAACTATCAAACTGCAATTCCTGTGTCAATAATTAAAAAATACCCATGTACTAAAATCAGACTTGCAAAGACATCAAAATCCAAAATGAAAATAATTTGGAATGAAACACAAGAAATGTAATGAATACATAATACATAACATGTCTTCAAGACCTAATAAAGACTGCACAAAAATGTGTAGTCAATGACAAACATTATTAGCTGTTCTCTACAGACGTGGCATATTTAACATGACCAAAGATAAAACGAAACAATAATTTCACTCAAAATGACTTTGCACTTTTATAATTAAAATATCAAATAAAAGAGCTGTTTCACAAAAAGCATCATTTTTGGCATTGATTTATTTGGAAATGAACCTTCAAGATCCATAAAAATAATACACTTGTTTTTGAACTAAATAAATATAATTTGTTTAAGGAAGATCTCAAAAAAGGTTTGGCAAAATAATTCTGGTGCATTTATTAATAGT